TAAAGCTTGAGGAGCCATTGTCCCTCTGGCCTGCCATCTGCAATGCTGGAAGAACATGACTGAGATGTCAGAGTGCATTTTTCAGCCACCAGCTAATTAGCAGACAGAATGTGTGTCGCCTTTACCAATTCAACAGCCTTCCAAGATCAGCCAGACCACCTTTCCCACTCCAAAAAGAAAACCCCAGCACTGAATTCTTGGAGAGCACTTGAAGGAGGAGCTGTGTAGAGACGAGACAAATGCTTGGTTGTGTCAGCTTTCATTCTCTTTGCCACTCTCATCTCCTCTTTGCAGGAAATCACATATATATGAATTATAGATGCTATTATTAATTATTATTCAGACATTGATATTCTGAGCCAAAATCCATGCTCCTCTGGATATATCATTTATTTGAAGGGATTAATTTAAACACATCAAGTTTCCTAAACTTTTAGCCTCTCGAGCTCAGATCGATTGGAATACTAAGCTGGAAGCAGGGTTCTAAAAGCCAAAAATGTTTCAGCGTCACCTGACATAATAAACTATGTCATTCAATCCTCAATATTTGCAGCTGGAGATGTAGCTACAGCCTAATATTTGGAAGGAAAGCAGTCTGTTCATTCCATCTATGGCTGTTGCTGGAATTTAAGAGTTAAGAAACCCCAGGAGTGTGAACAGGATGTTTTAAGTCTAAAAACTAAAAGTTCAAATTAGTATTCATGGCTTGCTAGCACAGTTCACCGTGGACAGTTACAGGTAAATCCCAGACTGGTGTTACCAGGGAAGGATCTTGGCTACATGCTAGGATCTCCTGATTTTATATATGAGATAGGATGAACTAGTATAATTCAGTGTCAAACCATGTGAGAAGCAGAAATTCCTGGCTGCAACAGAGGAAACAGAAGTGAGCGGAGGCCATTACGAGACACTTCTGTCTTCGTTTTGTTAGTGTAGTAAAACTAAGCAAATCCTTTTAAACCATCATGATTCCTGCAAATTTACATTAGTTGGATTCTTTCATTCTCAGATGAACCTGCTGTTTCTTTGATCCAAGAGCTATGTGCATATTATCAAAAAGAACTATCACCTTAAGCTTGGAATCATTATTTAATGATCACCAGGTGTTGAAAGAGGCTTCTTTCCTAGGGCTCAATCCAACTCTTACTGAAGTCCACTGACCTGAGTGGGAGATGAATTGGCCCTTCTAGGGACTACACAGGTCCCTGTGCAAAAAGCCTATGCCATTTAAGCCCCAACATAGGTCCTTGGCTGGAACTTCAGTGCTACATAGAGCTTCACCCAGCCCTCTGCACTGGGCTGAATTTCATCTCCAATGCATAACATCCCCTTACAGACAGTGAACCAAATTACAGTAGTTGCAAAAATATTGCGTATGTATATTCAGTTTATTCAAGTCAAGGCAATACAATTATTTTAATGTGTAATGTGATAATAGGTATGTCCATTGATCAGGAATAAGTAAAATCTACAAAAGAAAGCCCTATCTACAAAGACAAAATGATGATTACAGAATAGTCAGGGATTCTTGGCCCAGTTAAAGGTCAAAATCAATAAAAATGTCTGTGCCCTTTGTAACCCAAACACTAATCTCTTTCCATGTGGAAGAAGAGCTTAGTAGTTGAAATATATTTCACAGATGTGCAGTTTGGCCAAAGGCCTGCATTGCACTGAATGGATGCCCAAAGCTAGACAGATGGCAAGCAGAATCTAAATTAATACACTTAAGGCCAGATTTTTTAAAGGTATTTAGGTGCCTAAAGAAGCAGCTAGGTGACTAGTGGGACTTTCAGAAGCACCTATTTGCATCTTTAAGCACTTAAATGCCTTTCAAAATCTGACCCTTACGCCTACAGGAAGAACCAAAACAACAAAAAATTGAAAGAACATCTGTGAACCCAAGACAGAGCTTTCTCCGACTGTACCCATGTAGTGCGGGCACAAACCTGACAAACACGTAAGATGGAACTGAAGTGTGCAGCTCGGTCCCAAAGGGGAAGAGCCACTGGAAAACAAGCATGATCTACCAGTCTAAATATAGATGCAGATGCTGCAAGAACAATTGCTCAGGGGAAAACAAATGTGAACTGTAGGTAAAAAGCTTTTTGCACGCATGAATAGAATTACACACCTCTACTGCCATGGCGAAGCAAACACAGCGAGAGAAACCACAGAGCAGAAAGTCACAGTCAGGAGGGCACTGGAGTTAAGGACACAACTCCAGAAAAGAACACGCTGAAACAAACCCATCATCAACCTGAAACCAATTAAAATTTCAGAGTGAATGAGAGATGGGGCCAAAAAAACAGCCCCAAATGCACAGACATTAAGGAAGTTAGCAGTTATGATACCAAGCAGAACACAATCCCAGATCCAAGCACCACTTTGTACTGGGAAATATTTAACCCAGCTTTGGATCTGAATTTAGTGCTCAGGCCTCTCTGTAATTTGACCCTGTAAAACCCAATCCTGCGAGGTGATGAGCACTTTTAATTGCCACCAATTTCATTGGGAGAGGTGGGAACTCAGAAGCTTACCCACGGAAAGAAGTAAAAACCCCAATGCGCTGGGCTGCATATGGACAACAAGAGGAACATGAGAACAAAGGCACCACTTAGAGTCGAACGCCATCTCTGACTGACACCTACTGGGTCAGACTGTCAAAATACTCCATCACTCTTGCAATCGGGGATAACAGCATCAGCTCCTCGGAAGTGAACTTCACCCCCTACCTACAATCATACAAGAATATGAACAGAAACAGGTGTTCTACTGGGCTGACCGTTTGCAAAGACAAAAGGAAGCTGATAAAATATCCCCCAAAGATATCCCTCAGCAGTCCCAAAGCCAAAGATGAAATGTTGATTGTTCATATATTTTAAGAACAGATGGAACAATTACATCTAGTCTGACCTCCTGTATAACACAGGCCATAGAACTTCACCCAGTTACTCTTGTATTGAGCTAAAACATGTCTTCCGGAAAGGCATCCAAGTCTTGATTTGAAGACATCAAGAAACAAAGAATCTACCCTTCCCTTGCTAGTTTGTTGCACTCGTTAATCACCCTCAATGTTAAAGACGGCACAAATTTTTCTAATCTGAGGTTTGTCTGGTTTTAACTTCCAGACATTAGTTCTTGTTATGCCTTCCTCCGCTTGATTAAAGAGCCCTTAAGTGCACAAAGCTATTGAATCAAATTTCTGTGCACATATCAATGGATTAATTTTAATATTTTATGTAGAGATAATTGAAATTTGTCATTTGAAACATTTGTCAGTGAAAAATGGCTTTTTTGTCAAAGCAGTAATTTCCATAGGAAATGTTAAATTTTGACCAACTTGGGGGGGGGGGGGGGGTTAAGGAAAACGGACTTTTGATGGAAAATTTCAACAGAATTTGAAATTCAAGGGAATAAAAATGACATTTCCTGACCAGTTCTAATTTGATGTACCATAAGAATTCAATTAAAGTGCACACATTAGGCAGCACATATCTACCCTTCACAGCTCAAACCGTGGTCTCAATATAGGCCAGAGTAGCACTTTTGACCATTCGCAACAGTCACCAAGGGACAGTCAACTAGATAAGAACTGCCAGAATGGAGCAGTCAACTTGCCTTCCCACCTCCAATACTGTCTCTTCTGGACCTGGCTTCCCCTCTCTAGGACAAGGAGGAGAGGGTGATGTAGGAGCCAGCTCCAATGCTAGCTGGCAGCTCCCCACCACCAGAAGCATTCTTAGATATTGCCAATAGGTGACCACTTGTGCCGTCTGAGGAATCCAAATGGGCTGGATTGGAATGCGGGGCAGAGAGAGAGAGAGAATATGGCCCGTTTATTTATGTCACCTGTGTTTGAGGAGGCAGAAGGAAATCCCTGAGTGAGACAGGGAGAGATATGTATTTGTAAAGGAAGGCAGGGAAAGCTTTCCTGACAGTTCTTAAATAAATAATTATCCAGCACTTTGAAATTAGAGGTCATATGCAAAACACGTACAGTCTGGGGACAGGTGGTAATGCCAGGCAAAGCTAGTTACAAGCTAAAACAATGGCAGTTCTCTAGGAATTTCAGCATCTGCACCAAAACCCATCAAACCTGCGAAGTGATAATGACGTTCATATATTCTAGGCTCTCTGCAACAACTTTTTACTATACAAGTAGCTTACGCAAGTGCGAATAAAGATTTCTCACAAATGAGCCGGTTACAAGGATTTTCAGCAGATATTTGACATTTTAAAAGCAGAAAAATATCAGACAAATTTTCAATGGGAGTTTTGTCAGAGTAAAAAAAAGTGTAGAGAGTAATACAGGAGTTCATGTGAAGTTTTGCCTGAGAGAGGCTTAAGTAAAGATTCCAGGATTAAAATCTGTATCTACAATATAAACAAAAAACTACATTAAAAGAACATTAAGGTTGCAAAGTTAAGCACTCAAAAGTTAGGAAATGACAGAATTAAGGTTGCCTGTGCAACCCATCATCCCCTCTTTGTGTGTCTGCATTATGATACAGTCTATTATTACATGATCTGGCATGGAAAATTTCAGCCCAAATGGTTGAAGTTTGATAAAGTTATAAGCAGCTGAAAACAGGATCTTCTAAGGAGAAGTGTCAGTCAATCAACTCTAGGCCGCACTAATTGTGTCACCTATAATAATGACTTCTAGAAATGTCACTGAATTACAATAACTGGAAGTATTTAAGAATAGACTAGGTAAATTATGGGACATTAATGTAGAAGAAAGCCATATAGTTCAACAGCATAGAATTGTATAGCACCAGAAGATTACATGATGTTACTTTACAGAAAGCAGGTGAAGACAAACAAAATACAAAAGACAGTCTTGTTAGATTGTAAGCAGTTTGGGACAGGAACAACACAACACATTGCATAATACCAGGCTCCAAATCCAGGCTGGAAGGTACCCATTTCAAGTCACCCGCTCTGTGCTGCTCTGTACGTGCACATGTTCCAGTTACCGCAAAACAACTGGCACTTACCATGCTCATCCAGTAAGATGTTGTCAGGCTTCATGTCCCTAGAAATGACAGAGAAGGGAAAAAGGGATATCAGCATAGAATGGTGATACATAATGTGACTGTACAAGCCTAGGGAAAGGTTTGTGCAAGATATATTATTATCATTTATACAGCACCCAAGTTTACTGGCATTTTACAGGCAGGAGTAAGAGGCCTGGTATCCCAGAAACCTTCTGGGGTGGGATTATTCTGTATTTCTTCCTCTGTGAGCCGGTGATCCTTAATTTAGACATAATTAGATTAATGATGATGAAGGAAAGGGAGGACTAGAGTTCCTATGATATGATCATGTGGCTGCTTTGGTTTGCAGTGTCTGGTTCTTGATAGTCCAGCTAGATGTGAGTGGTTCTTTTTACTATTAGCTTTGTTTTCATCGGAAGTAGTATTTGCTAGATTCTAGTCCAGTCCTGCTCTCAGAACGGACACCAGTCTGTTGTGAGGGGAATCCAACTGCTGAATCTCACGTGCTGCTAAGCTTCCTGGGTCTGGACAGCGACTGATCACTATTCCTAGCTCTGGGTCTCTCAGGTGCACTCTCCAGGTGCAGACCCCATGTCTGCCACACATTCAGTGTGACCTTACAGTCCAGCCACCTAGACCCTGAAACCAGTGCCACAGCCTTCTACTTGCTTCAACATTTTTACCATAGACATACGACACTCCTGCTAATACACCCCAAAATGATGATATTAGCCTTTTTTTTGCAACTGCATCACATTGTTGACTCATATATTCAATTTGGGATCCACTACAACCCTCAGATCTTTTTCAGCAGTTCTATCACTTAGCCAGTTATTCCCCATTTTGTAGCTGTGCATTTGATTTTTCCGTCCTAACTCTTTTACTCGTCTTTATTGAGTTTCATCTTACTGATTTCAGACTGATTCTCCCATTTGTCAAGGTCATTTTGAATTCTAATCCTGCCCTCCAAAGTGCTTGCAACTCCTCCCAGCTTGGTGTCATCCACAAATTTTCCACTCCATTACCCATGCTTTCCAGACATAATTTCCCCACTAAATGTCAAGTCCTTACTACAAAATGGATGGTCTAATTCACAATGATTGTTACAATTACAAATAGTGTTCATGAAACCAAACAGAATTCATAATTAGACACAGACCTATTCCCCAATGTGTCACAGTATTGTACTAAGAAGCATTCAATCACATTATAGAATCATATTTTGGAACAAAAAAAGAAAAGCAGAAGTTTTCCCCTTTCTGTCAGGTGTAATCATAGGAAGGCTCTAAAAGTGCAAAAGCTCTGTTTACTTCAGAACATTCTGATTGGCATAAAGCAGACCCGAACAGGAGACGCTAATCAAGCAGAGTCAGGATGTACAGCTTTCTGCTTCATATTCAGTTTTCACACCACGGTTTTCATATCTGAAACCAATGCCCTCTTCCTTAAAAATAACCACTCTTCATGGCAGATGCATGTTTTATTTGTGGGATATCTTGGCGAGGTTTTAAAACGAGTAACTAAGCTGCTGCACAACTTTCTCAGTGATCTCTTAAATGACTTTTTTCACTATGAAAATTTCATTATGAATTTGAAAATTGGTGTAAAAATTGCACTGCTTTGCTTAAAAGTGTCCCCCTTTAAAACGAGCCCATTCCAAACAAAAATTAGAGCATTCAAATCAATTGGTGAATTCAAAATCTGACATCCCAAATTCAACATTTTTTCATGTTTTGATGTAAAAATAACCCTTTGATTGAATTTCACGAACTAAAAAGCAGAGTGCAAAATTTCCTGAAATGTAAGAACAAATGTTTCCTTGTAAAATTTTGCCAAGAAATGTTCACCAGTTTTTCAGAGGTTTATGGCTGTTCAACAGGTTTTAGTAGGGTGATACTTTAGACACTATCCGCCCATAAACTCTGAACCAGTTACCCCTCTCTGGCCAGACAGTACCCACCAAGAGTTTGCAATAGAAAACTACACTGCAGTATGACAGTGTAGTTATTCAGGAAGACCTACATTTATTCAAAGTTTTCAAATGATGAAATGAAAAATATGAAACATTTTAAAACATGCCCTGTCACACTTTGGCAGACATTTTAAAAGCTGAGCTGCAGAGGGCAAAACAGGTTAGAAAATGCACTGGAATCGTTTCTGCTTTCATCCATTACGTTTTAGAAGTGAGTGCCTAGTTATGCAAGCCCATTTTGGTTTAACATTAATTATATTGCAATCATAAGGAATATATATCCTAAAAGTAGTTAATTTTTGGAATAAATATTTTACTGATGGGAAAAAAAGAATGGCCCAAACCAAAACCCTGGATAACACAAGTCCAAACTTTCAGTGGATTTGAATCTGAACTTAGTGCTCTAGGCCCAAATCTAAAAAAGGGACAGAAAACAAGAGAAAGATATGTACCACCTGGAACTAGTTCCACACTCCATCCCTGTCCATGGGTAAAAATCACCCGTTGAGAGGCCCAGAAATGGAATTTAATTGATGCATATGCCCTGTTAATCCTCCAAAACAAGGCTTAAATCAGACACAGGATTTATACTGGCCCTTCGCACAGGGGGGAATTTCAACCCACAAGGAGGAGAATACAGCTAATCACTAAGCCTGGAATATTCTTGACAACACTACGCCGTGAATAAAATCAACAGCAGCTATACTTTCAGAGGAGAAAGAGAGGAGAACAGAAGAAGCCCTTGATATCAAGGGAAGAGTTAGAAGGGAACACCATGCACTTTACAAAGTTTCAAGAACAATAGGACAGTGTTTATCCTCATGAAACTGGGTTAATTACTTCTCTAATCATAAGAATTTTTGTAATTGTTTCAAAGCCTGAATTTTCTAGCTGTGTTATGGCTTTTTCGATTGCTCAGAAGGTTGACTATTCATAAATATGTTTATCAGGAGGAATGGCCAAAAGGGAATTCCCAGCCAGATGGTGTAAGAGTTTCCCAGAAGTAGGGAAATAGTTGCTAGTAACCGTGTGGTATTCTCTAATATGGCAGCTATGAAAACTGTAAAGCAAAAAATGACAGGGGGCAGGAGCTAAAGACTTTTACCCCACACAAAAGGATGAATCGAATTTCACGACATACTTAATGGCTCTTGAAGAGCAATGTAAATTTCTTCAAGTGGTGGTTTTTATTTCATTGCTTTTAATTTTATGAAACCAATGCAATTATGGTTGATGAAGTAATAATAAAATAACCTGAACCTACACAGATAAAAGACAGTTACCTTTTCCAGTGTTCTTCGAGATGTGTTTCTTATGTCCACTCCGTATTAGGTGTGTGCGCTCAACACACGCACTGGTGCCGGAAGTTTTTCCCTTAACAGTATCCGTAGGGGACCAGCTCTGGCACCCTCTGGTGTGGTGCCTATATGGCGCAGTATAAGGGGCACCACTGGCTCCCCACACCCTCAGTTCCTTCTTGCCGGAAACTCCAACAGTGGGGAAGGAGGGAGGGTTGTGGAATGGACATGAGCAACACATCTCGAAGAACACCAGTTACGGAAAAGGTAACTGTCTTTTCTCCTTCAAGTGATTGCTCATGTCCATTCCATATTAGGTGACTCCCAAGCAGTACCCCTGGAGGTGAGTAGGAGTTAATGGACATGCAGATTGCAACACAGCTCTGCCGAACCCAGCGTCGTCCCAGGCCTGCTGACTGATGGCATAATGAGCCATGAACATGTGGACAGAGGACCACGTTGCAACTCTACAGATGTCCTGGATTGGGATGTGCGCCAGGAAAGCTGCTATAGACGCCCGCGCTCTCATTGAGTGGGCTCTAACCATCAGCGGCAGCAGAACCCCTGCCAGGTCATAACCGGTCCTTATGCACGAGGTGATCCATTGGAAATCTTCTACGTAGACACCGGAAGACCCTTCATCCTATCCGCTGTAGCGATGAAGAGCTGAGTTGATTTACAGAAAGGCTTGGTACGTTCAAAGTAAAAAGACAAGGCCCTCTGGACATCCAGGGCATGAAGATGCCTTTCTTCACTGGCCCGGTGCGGTTTGGGGCAGAGCACCAGGAGCGAGATGTCCTGGTTAACATGGAATATAGAACCATCTTTGGCAGGAAGGCCGGGTGGGGCCGCAACTGAACCTTATCTTTGTAGAAGGCCGTGTATGGTGGTTCTGATGTCAAGGCTTTAATCTCAAAGACTCGTCTCACCAACATTGCCACCACCAGGAACGCAGCCTTCCATGACAGGTGGGAAAGGGAGCAGGAACCCAGCGGCTCAAAGGGCAAGCCGGTGAGCCTAGAGAGGACAAAGTTAAGATCCCACTGCGGGACAGAAGTCTGTACCTGCGGGAAGAGTCTCTCGAACCCTCTCAAGAATCTGACCATCCTGTCATGGGAAAACACCATCTGTCCTTGGATCAGCGGGTGAAAAGCAGAGATGGCCATGAGATGCACTCTAATGGAAGAGAGTGCCAGGCCCTGGTTCCTCAAACGGACCATGTAGTCTAGACAGGACAGCCTGTATGGAAAAACGCGAGGGAGAGATGCCACGTTCAGAGGAACGGGGGAGGCGGGTGGGAAGGGGGGTATAAAGGAACTGGAGGGTATAATCCTGCTCCACTGTGCTGAGGACCCAACATTCCAAGGTTATAACTGTCCGGGCATGGAGGAAAAGGGAAAGGCAGTTGGAGAACACTGGGACAGAGGGATCCAGGGAACAGTCTGGTAGGTTGCCTTTGAGCACACCCTCAAAATGACCATTTGGCCCCTTACTTGGTACGGGTCAAGCCCGACCGGGCAGAGGGTGGAGGCGGGTGGCTCAGACAGCGCTTGTAGCCCATGGCTCATTTGTGGGGCTAGTACTGCCGAGTCTGGCTCTCCTGGCCCTGAGGCTGCTGTGGTATGCACCAGGGCTGGGATGTAGAGACCCAGGGTTTTTGGGGTGGTGCGGGAGTCCTTAAGGCCATGCAACTTGCTGTGCGTTTGCTCCGCAAATAGGGCTCAGACGTCGAAGGGCAAGTCCTGCATTGACGGCTGGGTCTCGGAGG